TCTTCCGATCTCCCCAAAACCCCAAAACCCCGCAAGTTAAAATGGTAGGGTTTAATAATGTTTGAAATAATAATTAAATTCAAAATGTGCTGCACTGCCTGTTGTCCTCACTTTGACAGACTTGCAACTTGGTGCTAAAGTAAAATCTCTGAGAGATGCATGCTAATTTTCAATATCCTTGCCTGTCTTATGCTCTTAACTTGTGTTGCCTTTAGATTCGTGTATATGGCAGATGGAACTTTAGCATTTTTCTATATAATATTGTCTGTGTACCTTGTTGCTTTCACACTTGGACTTATTCTAGCTGAATTCAAAGTAGAAAAGGTAAGACTATATGTGAACTTTTTGGACACTAAATTTGGACGAGGCATCTTTATGATTTTCCTAAGTCTTCTAATCCTTGAGGAGCATGCAATAGAAGTGATATTGTTCTTGTGTATTATGGCAATTGGAATTCTGAACATGATTGTCGGGTGCAAATAGGGATCAGATGGGAAAAAGGCATTGAAAGAAAAAGAAGCAGCTTCAGCCAAAAATAATGATAAACAGCCAGCTGGCCCAAGGAGCAGCAGCAAATCTGGACTTGTAGTGTAAAAGTAGGAGACAGCTTTGGAAAAAGCTGATAGAATTAAATTTGATAATGACCAGAAAGAGTTGGAAAAGTAAAGTTCCCTGTCATAATTGCAGAAGGAGTTTGTAAATGGACCTCAGAACAGACAACCTTAGAACAATTAGATGAGGCAGGGCAATGTATATGACCTCGAAGAAGTTGACAGATAATATTATGGAGGTGGTAACGATTCTCAACAAGTGGTTGACAATCACATGATCGAGATTAATTTGAATGATGATGACGAGGAGGAAGTTTGACCTAAGTTTTAATATTAAGATATCAATCAGTATTGGTTATTCCCCTTAAAAACGTTAAGTATTCACACTATTCTTATCTTTATTTAAGACTTTCATTTATTGCTTTAATTAGCTATAGGCCTTTGATCTTAAATTAAAAGTTATTTAATTTTAAAACTTATTTATTTTATCTTAATCTCCTTTATTATAAAAACTTTCATGGCTGAGAAGAATAATGCAAAAACTGGTGACTTCTTCACTACTTAAATAGCCATCAGAAATCAAGACATTTTAGAACACTAGATTAAAGATATTTTTGAAAGGGATCAGTCATTCAAGATAAATACGTAGCTATCTGAAGTAAGTTATTGACATATAATAAATATGTAGCTTGTTGGAGAACAAATCAAATTGATTAATAATTCGATAGTAGATCTTATTATGAGAAAAGATGATTTTGCATAGCTAAAATTCGTATGATATTTAAATTATTAATTCATATTAGAGCGAAAAAGCTAAGATAGACCCAAAAGTAGCATTAAAATATAATAAGAAGTTGTAGAATGACATTTTTCTTAACAGAGATCTGGTATGATTAGCTTACTCAGTCAATAACTCCCCTTGATTGTCATAATCTGATCTAAAACAAAATGATGATGCTAATAAATCCCAGAAGGTGCAGGAAGCTAAAATGTTTATTAAAAGCTTGAAATAGTAGTAGAAGGAGTGACATGATAAAATCTAAATCATTAATCAGCAAACAATTGAAAAAAAATAAGCAGAGCTCTTGAATAAGAATAATGACTAAGCTAGGTATTTGGAATTTAAACAAAATAGAGGGCAGTAGATTGAAAAAGCAATAGAGGATATCAAGCAGAGAAGAGAGGATAGAGAGAAAAAGAATATTGAGTGATTAAAGCAAATGAAAGAGTTGAAGAAGCAAAAACCATATTTTGTAAAAGCTGAGGAGGATTTTCAGTAAAATGTAATACTGCCTAAAATAGATTAAGAGAAGGCATTAATTAACTAGATCAGATAGAAAATGAGGAAGCCTATGGATATGAGTGAATTCTAGGAGCATTAGATCAAATATTTGGAGAAGTAGAAGATGCTGGAATTAGAGAAGCTTTAAAGCAAGCAATCAAGATCCCCTGACTATAAGAAATCGCCTTAAAATCTACATCAAGGGAAGTACCATAAATTACTACAAGAGTTAGATGAGAAACAGAAGTATAAAGAGGAGGAACGTCTAGAGAAGTTAAGGAGTTTAAAATAAAAGTAAGAAAAATATGATAAGTTCGTAAAGGAATACCATCCAGCTCATGTCTCCCCAGGAAAGCAGTTATAGCTCTAAAGTGTAATGAGCTAAATAAAGCATCCAGTAAGATAAAAGAAAAGCTCCTACGACAACTATTTGGCAGATATTGTTATTCGTCATAATAGATCAAGACAAGGAGATAAAACAAAGTCCAGCATTCAGTACTCTAATCTTAGCTCGTTGTAGAATATTCCAGATGATTATACTAAGAGACCTAAGCATAAGGATTACTTGAGAGAGATGATGAATGAAAGATATGCTAAGAGTGCACTTAACTCACCTATAAATGATCGAAGTCCTTCCCCAAAATTTCCAAGTTATCATTTAGAATTGCAAAAGCAACTTAAAAAGAAAGACCTAACTTCCCAGTAGAAATATGAGTTAGTTAAATTTAAAAGTGAGGCATTGGAATAGCGAGCTCATGAATTTGAGCACGGATTCAAGCAGCAGGACTTGACAATACAGAGTCAAGTCAATAACTTGTACCTAGACTCTATTAAGGCCAAGATGGCTCTAATTGAATAGTTATGATTGATAGTATTTATTTAACCCATAAATAATTAAATTAAAAGGGCTATTTATGTTGTGGAGTGCTGAGAAATATTTGAACAATTCACCACTAGTACGCTATGGCCGTAGAGGTAAGTCTACCCTGACAATATTCTTTGGTCACGATTACTAGTTCATATTGAAGAGGAGATACATCTAGTAAACCCAGTCTCATTGGAGTTTACTCGTTCCAATTTCCCACATTCAAACAACATTCCAAATTAAACTTGTGATTAATTTATCATATTTAATACTTAAAATAATTATCATCAATCAATCATCACTTAGTTAAAACATTACTTAAACTGACTAACACCTCAGTACCGTGATTTTATCTCATTATAACTGCATTTTCCTCATTCTTGCATATCTTAGCCAGACACACTGCAGCATTTTTCCTGATCATGTCTGTTTTTTCTTTGATTATATTTATAAGGGGGACAATAAGGTCCTTGAACTCTGGCAGTCTCTCCGGAATGACTTCGGCAAAAGCTGAAATGCTTGAACAGCAGTTTATGAAGTTGTCATCTTAATTATTTTGTAAGTTTTCATGGAATAGAGCAGTTACTTCGGTCACATATGTATCAAAATTCTTTGGAGTAAATCCATGTTTCTCTAAGCAAATCTCTCTGAAGCCAGAAAGTTTGCAGCAGGCATGGAAAATTCTCAAACTATTGTAGAGTAAGATTGGGAAATTTCTGTTGAAATAAATCAAAACTCTGAGTATAATATCTTTTGACTCGGCAATTTACTAAGCACCTTGAGAATCTCTTGCTAGCTTGCCTAGAAGATTAGTGATTCTACTTATGACTTCAGCCTCATCATCCTTGTATTTAAGCTCTTTGATAAGTTTTTCCAGTAGCAAAACTATACCCTTAGAAATCATAGATTACTAAGCTCTTGGTTCAAGACAAGCATTAATTATTATAGCGAGTTCTCTATTCACGCTTTCAAGCCACAATACTTGCTTCTTTTCAATTTCTTTTTCGAACATTGAATATACTTCTTCAAGAATACCTTCAACGTTACCAGCTACTATCTGTCTGAGTTATTGATCGACACAAAGGTTACCAATGAATGCCAAGACTGCATGTTTCAGTAATACCTTATCAGCAGTCGATTCCTTGTTATCCCAATCAGTTATATTAGCACTAGCAAGGATCTTCTTCATTGTCTAGAAGAATGTTTAAGAGTTCTCACTTCTAAGCATGACTCTGAACTTGCCATTACCATAGCATAAGTTACTAGAAAATTGTATTAGAGAACTGACTAGTTTTCTGTTGGCATCAATGTCAATAGCCTTGATAACGACTAGAAACAAGTCCTTGATTTTCTTCTTTTCACTTAAGTTTTCTCTTACAAACTCGTTAAGCGAGCCAGACTCTAAGATTTCTAATGTTTGATGAATAACAGGAGACTCAAGGGTCTTTGATTCCACATTTTAATTTGACTTGTTAAGATAGTCAATGAGCTATTCATAAAGCTTTTGCTTTTAGAAGTCTTCTTGCAATTTGACATCTTTATCGAGGATTTATTGTAGTATATTCAAGGCGTTGGAGTTGAAATCCAAAGAAGAGACTAGAGACTTAAAGCCATCCTTAGCATTGAAATAATAGACCATGTCTGGGTCTTGCAAAAGAGTCTCTAAGATCTTTTTAGCATCCTCATCCGTCAATTCATGATAGCAAAACTTCTTTTCTTTTGGTTTCTCTTCTTCTTTCCTTCCTTGTAAGAAATCAAGCATAAAATCTAGATATTCCTTTCCTTTGAGTAAATTAGCATTGCCCATTATGGTGTTTATTCTCTTTTAAAGTTCAATATCCTCCTCAGTGAGTTTCTTCAGCCTGATCACATCCTTATCTTCTGGTATTAATTTCTCAGCTTCTACCAAATCCTTAAGAGCGAATTCATAATCCTTCTGTCCTCTAAGTGCTTGGCATCTTCTCATAAATGCTTTATAGCACAGATCTTTTTCCTTGGTGTATCCATCGTGGAAGCACTCGCAGTATTCCAATACTCGAGTGCAATCATCAATCACTCCTTAGTAGTCCTCAATTTTAAGTCTAGCTAAGGCTCTATTTGTGTAGAGACATAATATATCTTTTCTAAGTTCAAGAGCATCAGTATAGTATTTAATGGCTGACTTGTACAGTCCCTTCTTAAGGACATCGTTACCCCTCTCTCTTAACTCATCTGCTTCTTTCTTATCTCTCATACGTCTCTTCTTTCTATCTAGCATATCAGCCTCCATTGCTCTGAAATTAGGATCATCCCTGGGAAGGATTGGCTCTGAATTATCGTCTTCAGAATCTTCATCCCCGCTCTCGAAAAAGTCCCACTTCTTATAGTTGGTACTAGTCTTCTTGTAGAATAGTGCCTGTGTCTTCTTCCAGTTTTCCCACTTTGACTTTCTGTCCTTCCTTCTTGCATTCTTGACTTTAAATTCCTCCACCTTTTCTCTAAGTTCTTCAAGACGTTCCTATAAGAAAGTTCATAAGTATAAAAATTCATAGAAATCATAGTAATTTGGGAAAATTCTAGAATTTATTTGAATTTCATAGTCTCTTAAATGACTATGTAAAAAATAGTCGTAAAACTAAGAGTGTCTAGCATTCTTGTTGAAATATTATTCTTTAACTTACCTCATAAGTCATAGTATCATGGCTGCAGTGAGTACACTTATCGAGTTGTATCATGAACTCATGGAAACAGAACTTGCAAAAGCTCTTGTAGCCAGGTTAATGCCCTTTACCAGGTCTTCCCTTAAGCAATTTTTCTCCAGCTTCCCTCTTTTTTATCTCTTACATGGTTGTCTTTCTCTTTTCTGTCTCTAATTCCTGCTTGTCCATTTCGTCACAATCTACGGTTCCATCTACTATATCCTTGACCTAACAAAATTTAATTAATTAAGAGACTAATTCTACCTTTTTATTGACATCTTCGATCTTTTCAAGCCAGTCATTGAGCTCGTCTTCTGTGTAGTTTCTCATTTCAATTACTTTAAGTTTTAAGTTTAGTTTTTAAATTTATAATAATACTATACTTTAATTCTATTAGCTCATCTTCAGGGGTTTTGGGGTTTTGGGGTTTTGGGGTTTTGGGG